AAAGCTTGTCACGGCAAGGGTCGGGGTGCCCTTCTCTGCAAAGAGCAGCCAGGGCACTCTGGGACGCTCTCCCCTCGAGAGAGTGGCCGCGCCGGGCCGGCCCTTTTTCTCCCCAGGATCTCGGTAGTCCTTGGCAATTTGTTCGCTGCAGCCACAACACCCGGTCCCTGCGGGCTGGGGTCCTCATCGGGCAATTCATTCTTCCTTGGAGAACGTCCCGATGATGACGTGGCTTGCTAATGCTTCAGCGTTCTGCTCATACAACTTTGGACCACCCCGAAGTTTGGGAGGGTATGCTCTTCTGTGGCTTCCTACAGACGTTGTTTGACCTTCGAGGCTTCCCGTCGACCATGCGTGCTGAAGTGCTTCTTTGCCATGCTTTGAGGACGGGCTCAAGCTCCAACACAAAGGGAGCTGGCTTCCCGTCGCCGTCGCCCGCCACAGTCGCCACCCACAGGCCGTGACTGTGTGGCTTCTCAACGACCAGTTCCGCCTTGAGCCCAAAGCACGCTATTCTCCAGCACTTGCACTCACGTCCTCTCTCCACAAGGCACTGCCTCTTGCTCGCCCCGACACCCTGGGCCCCAGTGGCAGAGAATCAGCACCCAGACCACGTCCCCCAACAAAGTGCAGGTCACTGGCCAAACCAAGAAGCTCTGCCGGGGCTGGGCCCCGACTCCAACCCGCAGGGGAGAGGAAGGGCACGTCCCCGCCAGCGGGCCCATCCCTGCCTCCTTTCCCTGCGGACAGACAAGGCCTCGTGACACAGCCTCAGCCCTCTATGCAGTCGGAGGGCAAGTCCCTTCGAATTCAGGAAACCCAGCAAGACTGGCTCCATGCAGACACCCTACCCCAGCGGCTAGGGTGCCTGCACAAGGAGGAGCACGCTGGGTGGGCAAACCTGAGCCAGGCTCTCTCGGCCCCTTCCTCGCACCCAAGACCCGAAGCCCCAGTCGGGGTTCCTGCTTTCAAGGAACCTGGCCTCTGGAGCGGTGAGGGACTCGCATCCTCGAGGGGTGTCCGCCTGCAGACCGAGCCTCCCGTCTCGGCCTCTCGCTACGCCCACGGACGCCGGACAGGGAAAGGAGCGCAGCGTGGGTCCCCGCCTCGGCATCGGCAATCCATCAGTGCCAACAGGCTGGCGAAATGAAACGTCCAAAAGACCCGGCCCAGGTTTCTGGAGAGCATCCTCGCGCCCGATCCAAAGATAGGCCCTCTGTGAAACGAAAGGGTTCGCTTGCACGCTTGGAAGTCTTTTTTCCAAGAAAGTTTATGGAACCGTGGGCTGGCAAGAAGCAAAGACGGGGTCGTGGGGTGTGAACTGTGAATGGCCAGCAAGTGGGGTGGGCAGGAGGGTGGCGGTGGGGGGGGCTGCGTGTGGGCCTTCCTGGAGGTGAAGGGGCTTTTCCTCTCTTTGAAGCATGAAATGTGTTTGGGGTTACAAAGTTCATGAAATCACATGGGTTTCGGGTGCCCGACTCTGTCCGACATCACCTGTCTATTGTATTGTGTTTTCGCCCCCCGCAAGTCACGTCTCTTCCCATCACCATCTGCGCCCCCCGCTTTCCCTGCTGGGGCCTCCCTCCACCCCGATTTCCCTCTGGTGACGACCATGCTGTCGTCTGCCGGTGATGTTTTGTGCCCCCCGGCCCCCCCCCACCCACCCCACTAAATCCCCTCTCATGTTCCACCGGCTCGCCTGCCCCAGCCCCGCTGACAGCTAGGAGTCGGCTTCTATTTTGCTGGTTAGTTATTTTGTTCAATGGATTCCACATACAAGGGGGGAGGGGGAATCCCAAACGTTCAGAATTCTCTTCTGCGGGGCAGGCCCCTTGTAGTACACCTTTGCCCCCAACCCCCCCGCCCCCCCACCCCCAGCTGTTTTAAGAATCCATTTGTATCTGCCTGCCCACTGGTGCTGTTGTGAGAGGCTGCGTTCGGCTACAGTAAACTATTGGAAGGGAGGGTGGGGCGCTGTGCTCATACCCCTCTCATGATGGGTGATTGACGAGTGAACTGCCCAGAACACACTGAGGCTTCAGCAGTTTTGGATACAAAATGGCCTGACCCCTGTGCCCCATCCTCCTTATCACCGAATCTCTCCCCGAGTGACTTTGTCGTCGTCGTCGTCGTTTCCCTAGGTGAGAAAAGTCCCCAAAGGGAAATGTTTTCCCAAGGTGGAAGAGGTGAAAGGAAAAACAGCAGGAGCACTCAATGGCATCCAAGTCCACGAGTTCAAAAACCGTTTTGGGCAGTGGACAAAAGCCTCCGTAGGTGTATTGCATCCAATGGAGAGCCTTTGGAAGGCAACTGAGGTTTCAACGTGGAAGAACACATGCACGATTGTTTTCTAAATAAACCCTGGGAGTTTGGGGTTCCCCCACTCATGGAAGTGACATCGATTGTGTTTGTCCCGCTCCGACTGGCTTCTTTGACTTCGCGTACTACTGCTGTCCATGTCCATCCACGCTGTCGCCCAAGGTAAGATTTCCTTCTTTCTCACGGCTGAGTCGTGTTCCGTCGTGTGAATGTCCCACCGCTGTTTCATCGCCTTTCCTACCGACGGCACCAGGGCTGCTGCCCACATTTTCGCCGATGCCAGTCACGCTGCGATGAACATCCGGGTGAATACATTCTTTGGCGCTGAGTGTCTCGGGTTCCTTGGGATGTACTCCTGTCACGACCAGCGCGGAGTCGGGGTTCCTGAGTGGGGGCGACGGGAGGCTAAGAGAGACACAACACGCTTTGAGGCAAAGCAGGGGCCAGGTGGGACATTGTCCTCTGATGGAGAGACGATGAGCCGGGAACATGGTCTCCGCCTTTACCTTCTAGGGGCTTGGTTGCTTAGACAGAGCTCGAGGACAGTTTGGCGGACTCAGGGAGACGCTGCAGGCACGGGACTGACGGGTTCCCAGGCTACCTGCCTGCTGCGTGTGTTCTGGGCCCAAGTTCCAGCGCATCCAGTTGCAGCTTGCGACTATGGATGGGTGGCCCTCGGAGCAGCTGGGTGGCTGGCGGGCGGGCGGGCGGGCGGCCCCCACGGAGGGCGCGGCGCGCGGGCCGGGGAAGGCGGGCGGCCCCGACGCGGTGCTCGGGCTCTTGAGGCTCCCGGCGGCGGCCTCCCTCGTCTACGGCCATACCACCCTGAACGCGCCCGATCTCGTCTGATCTCGGAAGCTAAGCAGGGTCGGGCCTGGTTAGTACTTGGATGGGAGACCGCCTGGGAATACCGGGTGCTGTAGGCTTTTGTCCTGCTTTTTCCACCTTCCCCGGCCGCGGCTGGGGACCGCGGCCGGCCGGGCCCTCCTGGACTGCGCGCCGGGCCCCTCCGCAGGCTCCCTGCCCCGGGGGGGGGGGGAGGGGGTTAGGGTTACGGATAGGCTTAGGGTTAAACACACTGAGGCTTCAGCAGTTTTGGATACAAAATGGCCTGACCCCTGTACTCCATCCTCCTTGTCACCGAATATCTCCCCGAGTGACTTTGTTGTTGTTGTTGTTGTTGACAGAGCTCAAGGATATTTGGCAAACTTAGGGAGATTCTGCAAGCACGAACTGATGACGGGTTCCCAGGCTATCTAAATGATACACATGTTTTCCGGAAAAGTTACAGTGCATTAAGTTGCAGCTTGCAACTATGTGTGGGTGGCCTGTGGAGTAGCTGGGTGTCGGGTGGACAGCTGGAGGGAGAGTCGGGCGAATCCTGGGAGGGACGGCAGCTTGGAGGCGGTGCTCCGGCTCTTGATGCTCCTGGTCTCGGCCTCTCTGGTCTACGGTGAAAAAGTTGTGAGGTGTTTTTGAAGAACGTACATCGGCTGCAGATAAGGCGGAGAGGTGACGCAGGGTTCTCTATGCTAGCAAAATCTGGAGGAAGAAATATTCACTGCTTTTCATGGGTTATAGACCAGAGTCACTAATTTCACACACATGTGGGATGCGGTGGCTGATCCAGTGGCCCGAGCGGTCTTTTGTCAGTGGGCCCACATTTATTGTTTCCTGGTCAGGTATCTCTATCTCTTGTCTCACTATCCACATGTTGTAATTTCATTTAGAAAATTCCATAACTACAGGAATGCAATGTAATAAACCACAGGAAAACCTACACGATCCCTGAAAGAAAAACTATAGACATCTATGTAATAGGCTTCCAAATGGTTATGAGCAATATTTAACAGAAACAGGTTAGAGCCTGGCTTGTCAGGCTCAGTGGATTGAGCGCTGGCCTGCAAACCAAAGGGTCCCGGTTTGGATTCCCAGTCAAGGCACATGCCTGGTTTGCGGGCCAGGTCCCCAGTAGAGGGTGCGGGAGAGGCAAACACACTTTGAAGTTTCCCTCTCGTTCTCCCTTCCTTCCTCTCTCTCTAAAAATAAATAAAATCTAAAAATTGAAAACCTTGAAAGAAACAGGTTAGAGGAAGAATTTTATTTCACAAGCGACAGCTTTGTCTGCGGGGGTTTATCCAGTCCTCCCGCGTTGCTGACAACCGCTGCAGTGCGGACCACGCAGCGTGCCCCGTGCAGACAGAGAGGGGAAAACTGAGAGATCACCTCCGGATCTCTCCGCAGATCACCTCCGGAACGACAAGCAAGGTTGGAAAAGGACGGACAACTGCCATTTTCTGGTACCTGAAAAGGCAGGTGCAAATGGGAACACTGAATGACAACTAACCGGCTGCTCTAAAAACATCAGAAGTTGAAATCATCGAGGTTTTAATCCGACGTACAAAACTTTAGGAGTTAGGAGTCTAACTCCTAAACCTACCAACGGAAGGCTGGAAAACGCACACTGCAGCCACAACTAGGATGACACCCGCGCTTCAGGGTGGCGGGACCGCGAGTTCTCGCGAGAACTACCTCACCACCACCTCCTCCTCCTCCTCCTCCTCCTCCTGTTCCTCCTCCTCTTCCTCCTCTCCCCCCCCCCCGCCCCCACACTCAAAGCAGAGTGGTCGCGAACTCTCGCGAGAGCGGCTCAGGCTGGGCTCCCGGGAGGCGGAGAAAGATGGCGCGGCGGGCCCCGTCCTGGAGCCGGCTGGACCGACAGCAGGAGCGCGATGTGCGCGAGCTGGTGCGCCATGTGGCAGGCCTCCGGGATGAGGCGGACCCCAACTTCCAGCTGTGCCTGAACTTCGCCTGGTCCAACTTCAGGTGCGAGGCGTGATGCTGTGCGGAGCCAGGAAGGGGTCGGGCAGGGTCTGCACTGCCCTGGTGGCCGTAGGGTCCGGTCGTGAGTTGTGCGGGACCTGAGTCTGCCCCATAGGTGTCCTCCCCCACCGCACCGAGCGCTGCACCCGACGCAGCAAGCGCTTTTGAATGCATGGGCCAGTGAGATTTAGGGCAAAGTAATGGTCGCGCCTAGTTCAAACGGCGATCTCTGGGCGTCCTGTGCCTGCTGGGGTCGCTCCAGACCGCTCGCTCCTGGGTCTCCTTTTTCCTTCCGCGGAGGGCTGAGCAGGACGCGAGGGTCACTTGTGTGGGGCTCACTGCCCGGCGCTGCCCCCGCAGTCCAGCCCGGAGGTCCGTCCCACCCTGGGGGTCTGTTTGGGTCATTTCTCATCCCAACATCTGGAACAGTTACTGCCTTGTAGTGACGAAGCCGCCCATACACCCTCTAGTACAATCCCGAGATTTACGTAGTTTAGATGCTTAGGTGAAGTCAGAGCTCCTATTTTTGTTTATGGACGATGAAAATTAGGCAGCACTGTTAAGATAATCACCTGTAATGGAATTTTACTACTAAAAGTATGTTAGTTGGCGTTAATACTCTAACCGTGTAATTTCAGTAGAAATCTTGAGGACTAAATAGTCTTGCAAAATGAGTAATCTTGACTTTCAACCTTAATGATCATATATAAAGTGCCTACTTGGTTTACAAAGACTAACCACTGAGGTAAAAGTCCGCCAAATTTCTGAAATAATAAACTCAGTTTTTTAAGTGTAACTTAAATATTGCAATGTGTGAATAGGTCAAATAAAACAATGCTTTTCCTACAGGTTGAATGAGTTATTTTTCCTTTTTAAGGTTATCTTTTTTTAACATTTTATTTGTTTATTTTTATACAGGGGAAGGGACTGAGAAAGAGGGAGAGAGACATCCCTGTGTGGTTGCCTCTCGGGTGCCCCCTACTGGGAACCTGTCCCACAACCCAGGCCTGTGCCCTAACAGGAAATTGAACCAGTGACCCTTTGGTTTGCAGGCCACCACTCAATCCACTGAGCTATCCCAGCCATGGCATCCTTTTTAAGATTTTCTTTTTATTTTTTTAATCGACTTCATTGGGCTCCCCATGGTTAATAAAATTATATAGGTTTCAGCTGTACAATTCTACCATCCATTATCTGTGTATCGTATTACGTGTTCACCACCCCAAGTCAAGTCTCCTTTTGTGTCCATTTGTCCCCCTGTTCCCTCTTCTACCTCCACCCTTATTTTTATTTTTCTGTTACAGTTGACATTCAGTATTATTTTGTATTACTTTCAACTGTACAGCATAGTGCAGGGGTGTCAAAGTCATTTTCACTGGGGGCCATATCAACCTTGCAGTTGCCTTCAAAGGGCTGAAATGATTTTAGGACTGTATAAATGTAACTACTCCTTAACTGTTAAGAAATTGAAATTACATTGAGCCCTTTGAAGGCAACCGCAAGGCTGCTGTGGCCCCTGGTGAAAATGAGTTTGACCTCCCTGGCATAGTGATTAGATATTTATAAAATTTAAGAAGTGACCTTCCAGTGTCCGAGGTTCAATTCCCAGCCAGGGTACATTCCTGGGTTGCAGGCCATAAACCCCAGCAACCGCACATCAATGTTTCTCTCTCTCTCTCTCTCTCTATCGCCCTCCCTTCCCTCTCTAAAAAATAAATAAATAAAATATTAAAAAAAAAGAAGTGACCTTCCTGTAAGTTTAGCACCCACCGGCACCATGTACAGTTATTACAATATTATTGACTATATTTCCTATGCTGTACTTTGCATCCCTGTGACTATTTTGTAACTGTCAATTTTGCTGCTTAATCTCTCACCTTTGTCACCCAGTCTCCCAACGCCCCTCCCCTCTGGCAAACATCAGTTTTTTTCTCTGTGTTTATGAGTTTCTGTTTTGTGTGTCTGTTTCTTTTTGCTCTTTAGATTCCACATATAAGTGAAGTCGTATGGTATTTGAGTTTCTCTGACTGACTTTTTCATTTTGCATGATACCTTCTAGGTCCATCCCTGTTGTCACAAGTGGGAAGATTTCATTTTTGAAAAAAATTTATCTTCTTGATATTTTAGAGAGAGGAAAGGAAAGAGAGAGAAACATCCATCTGGTGTTGCACTTATTGATGTAGTCATTGCTTGCTTCTTGTATATGCACTAACCAGGAATCGAACCTAGAATCTTGGCATTAGCAGGAAGGTGCTCTAACAAAGTGAGCTACGTGGCCAGGGCAAGATTTCACTCTCTTTTATGGCTGAGTCATAGTCCATTGTGCGTATGTCCCACATCTTTTTTCTTCAGTCATGTATTCATGGACATTTGGGTTGTTTCCATAGTTTGGCTATTGTAAAGAACACTACAAAGACAAATTTAAATGCTGTAGCTCAGATAATTTCTGTACTGACCTTTCTAAATGGCAGTAAGTGGACGGACATCATTTGAGGGTTGGGAAAGACTAAAAGTTACCATCTCCTTCTACACATTGAGAAACTAAACACATTATGATAGGTGAAGTACCGTTCCACTTGGCCATTTAGAGGATAGAATTAATGTTACCTGGTCATGTCATTTACTTCGTTTAAATACAGATTGTGGGCTCTGAAACTGAAAAGTGGAAAACAGGAGTCATTGTGCTATACTGTGGTTTTATGAACTCTTAATCCATCAGAAAAATGAACAATTTTTTTCGGCTTTTAAAAATTGCAGCCATGTTGTAAGCCCTAGAAATTCAGAGATAGGTGAGATTCTTTTTGTCCTTAAGGGAGAGAGAAATTGAAGTTAATCACATATCATCTAGGGTAGGCCTTTATTATTTGTTCTTTTAAGGATTTTATTTATTTTTAGAGAAGGGAAGGGAGGGAGGGAGGGAGGGAGAAGGGAACATCAGTGTGTGGTCATGTCTCACGCTCCCTACTGGGGACTTGGCTGGCAAGTGAGGCATGTGCCCTGACTGGGAATTGAACTGGTGACCCTTTGGTTTGCAGGCTAGTGCTCAATCCACTGACCCACACCAGCCAGGGCCAGAATAGGCCTTCTTAACACGAGAGCCTAAAGATAGAATTCAGGTGTTATGAATGTGGACGAGAAAAAATTTACACCAACCTCTAACTACAAAGTAACATTTCTTTCAATTATGAATGAAAGCAACAAGCAATATTAGCTTACCTGTGAGTGTATCAGCAGTAGAAATCACATGTTTTAGGTCATATTTTAGTTGTAGATATATCTACATATTCTTTATGTCGCTTTAATGTTAGCTGTGGACCCACTGCTAAACCTTGTTACTTAATGCTTTTTCAAAGAAATGCCTTGCCTTGGCCAGTGTGGCTCATTTGGTTGGAGTATCGTCTGGTACACCAGAAGGTTGGTAGGTTCCATCCCCCGTTAGGTTGTGGGTTCAATCCCTGGTCGGGACGCATACTAGAGGCAGCCAATAGGTGTGTGTAGTGTCTGTCTGTCTGTGTGTATCTCTCTCTCTCTCTCTCCCTTCCTTCCTGAAAGCAATGAAAAACTGCCCTCAGGTGAGTATTAAAGGAAAAAAAAGGGAATGTCTCATTATATGCCACACTTTTAGGAACACTTCACAACTGTATTTCACTATTTTCAGTTACTGTTGTATATTTCATTTTGCGATTTAAAAGACATTCTGCCTTGACCTGGCTGGTATAGCTCAGTGGATTGAGTGCAGGCTGCAAACCAAAGCATCGCAGGTTCGATTCCCAGTCAGAGCACATTCCTGGGTTGCAGGCCACGGCCCCCAGCAACCGCACATTGATGTTTCTCTCTCTCTTTCTCCCTCCCTTCCCTCTCTAAAAATAAATAAATAAAATCTTTTAAAAAATAAATAAATAAAAGATGTTCTGCCCTGGCTGGTGTGACTCAGTGGAGTGAGCGCCGGCCTGTGAACAGAAGGGTCACCAGCAGGATTCCCAGTCAGGGCACAGCCTGGGTTGTGGGCGGTCCCCCCGGTTGGGGATGTGCGAGAGGCAACCAGCTGATGTTTCTCTTGCACATTGGTGTTTCTCTCCCTCTCTTTCTCTCTCCCCTACCCTTTCTCTGAAAATATATAAATAAAATCTTTAAAAAAAAATGTTCTGAGAGGGGGTCTTACCTTCACTGGGCTCCCTATAGCATAAAAAGGTTAGGCACTCTGATACAGGATGTGCTGTGTTGGGCCCAGACACAGGGCATTGTGGGAAGATGGAGCAGCCAGAGGACAGGGTGGGGCAGCTCAGGGGGACCTGTGTCCCACTGGAAGGAGCCTGAGCCGTCTCAGATGCCAAGGTCGTGCCCAGGACGGCAAAGGGATGCAGCAACAGAGGAGCGCTCCTGTGTGTCACTGAGTGTAGGGTGTGTCCGGGACACGGGGGGCAGTGATGCTAGTCTGCTTATCGAGGTGACAGGGTTGATGTAAGAATTGCATTTGATGTCCTAGATTCCATCGTTTCTTGGATGTGAACAGTCACAAAGTAGAAAAGACCATAGAAGGGTAAGTTGATTTCATCTATATGTCTATCCATGTAGATCTTTTCATTCATAGAGCTTTATGACCATCCATTGACTTTCAAAATTATGTTTTAGAATTTATGAAAAATTCATCATTCATTCCGATCTCGGTAAAGCTGCTAGTTGGAAGAGATTAACTGAGGAATTTCTCAATGCATCACTTCCGAGCACAAAGGAGACAAAGGTAGGCATTATAATACCGTGAGGTCTCTTGTGAATTTTACCATTTCCAATCTGGTTGTGGACAGCTCGTTTCTGCCAGTTAAACATTCATTCTCTTAGTATTGTTCGCTGGCTAGAGCAGAATACCCTGAAACCGACCCAAGTGTTACCTGGAACCCAGTGTGACTCAGGCCTGAGGAGAATGAACAAGCTCTTGGGTATTTATTTCAGTGTTAGCCTCCTAGGAAAATTGAGATCAGAGATTGGCATGAATAATAGCACTATGTGGCTATCTTAAGTGTTTTTGTTTCTTAATTTTTATTTTATTTTTATTTTTTAAAAGATTTTATTTATTCAATTTTAGAGAGAGGGGAACGGCGGGAGAAAGAGAGGGAAAGAAACATGAATGTGTGGTTGCCTCTCTCACGGCCCCTATTGGGGACCTGGCCTGCAACCCAGGCATGAGCCCTGACTGAGAATCGAAGACCCCTTGATTCATAGCCAGTGCTCAATCCACTGAGCTACGCCAGCCAGGGCTATTTTATTTTATTTTTTGAGAGAGAGGAAGGGAGGGAGAAAGAGAGAAACATCGACTTGTAATCGAACCAGCGACCTTTAGGTTTGTGGGAGAACACCCAACCAACGAAGCCACACTGGCTGCACCCAGCTTAAGTGTTTTAAATCCGTGGTCCCCAACCTTTTTGGCACCAGGGACAAGTTTTGTGGAAGACAGTTTTTCCACAGACCAGCTTGGGGGGATGGTTTCGGGATGTTTCAAGCGCATTACAGTGAAACTCCCGTCCTACTGGGCGGCCTGATTCCTAACTGGTACTGGTCAGTGGCCTGAAGGTGGGCCTCCGTTTTACCTGGCTTCTCAGCCCTTGGTAATAAGAACAACCTATGAAATGGTGCTGTAAGCACTTTCAGATTCCATTATAGGTCCCCAAGCTCACCCTGATGCTTGAAGATTCTCTACTAGAGGGGTTTACAAAACTTTACAAAAGCTGCCCTCTTCCTGTTACGGTTGATTACAATGGAATGATATAGATTAAAAGGAGCAAAGGGAAACGATTCCCGGGGTGACAGCTGGGAGAAACCAGGCACCAGCTCTCCAGGGTTCCTTCCCAGTGGAGTCACGAGGGAGGGAGCGCCCTTGGTTCGTGCAGTGACAGTGTGTGACCTCACACACACAGTGCCTCGAACCAGGGAAGCTCCCCGGTGCCTTGGTGCCCCAGGTCTTTGTTCGGGGTCTGTCACATGGACACGCAGTGCCCACGTGGCTGACCCTGCCACTCGGTGTGCAGCCCCACAGAGGTCCATCCGATGACCTCAAGCAGACGGAAACAGGCATTCACTGTAAAGCACATTGGTGCTGTCAACAGTCTGGTGTGTGGCCTGAAGCCTCTAGCTCAGGGGTGTCAAACTCATTGTCACCAGGGGCCACATGAGCCTCACGGTGGCCTTCAAGGGGCCGAGTGTAATTTTAGGACTGTATGCATGTAACTACTCCTTAACAGTTAAACGAGAGAGCTCAGTGCTGCCACTGGGTAGAAACAAGGTGCCCGGCCGGATGAAAGAAGGTGGAGGGCTGGATTCGGCTCACGGGCCACACGTTTGCCACCTGTGCTCTAGCATACACAAACCCGTCTCCGCAGGGTACCCCCAGGGCTCGGGTTCTGTGTCGGAAGCCAGTGGAGCGCCAGTCCTGAAGACCTTCCTGGGGTTCCCGGCTGGGTCAGCTAGGCATCTGATCCAACTGGCTTGACCTTCCCAGTGACCTCTGTTGCGTGAGGCTGTCTCTTTGTTCAGCAGGGTGTCTGGCCCTCGGTCACCGGCCACATGCGGCCCAGGATAGCTGTGAATGTGACCCAACACCAAATTGTAAATGTCCTCCAAAACCTTTTTTTTTTCCGCTTTCTGTTTTCATTACTGTTTGTGCATTAAACGCATGGCCCAAAACAACTCTGCTTCCTGTGTGGCCCAGAGGCGCCAAAAGGTTGGACGCCCCTGGGCCACTCTGCACTGTGAAACTTGGTGTCCCACACACGGAAGAGAGCCTCAGACACCTTCAGGGAGGGCTCTGATGGTATGTCTGGAGAAGAGAGAGCCGCAGTCTCTCTGAGTGTGTGCCGTCGGGGGAGAATGCTCCTTGAGACCTTGCCTGCAGCCTCCTGGGGAGCCTGTGGAATTGAATGAAGACATTCAATCCTACAATACCATTGTGTTAATAGTAAAAAGAGTGTCGTGTGTGTTTAGAGCCCTCAGTACATGCCAGGCCCCGTGACTCCCACAGCCAGCAGCATCAGCAGATACAGGTGCTCCTCCCCAACCCTGGTCGTGCAGACTAACACGGTGAAACAGTGAGGGTCACTTCCAACTTGACTTTGACCTTTTCACTCCCATCTTCAGTTTTTTCTGTGCCCCTGCAGCTGTAGGCCCCCAACCAGGTACCTGGCCTGCAAGCCAGGCATGTGACCCGACTAGGAATCGAACCTGCAACCTTTGGCTTTCAGGCCTCCGCTAAATCCACTGAGCTACACCACCCAGGGTTAATCCCCTCATTATTGATGTTATCATCTTAATTGTTTTCTGTCAACTGTCCTGTCCCCAGCTGTGTAAAAGAAGTACATGTCTATCATTTTACTTGTTGTCCAATGCCAGAGGTCCCCTCTCCTCCCCAGCCTGTCTGCTCATGCCCCCTCCCTAATTTCTCACCAGTGGATTTCAAGCAGCCTACTTATGTCTTCTGTTTTGATTCTAATGTAAAAATAAAGTACAGCCCTGGCTGGTGTAGCTCAGTGGATTGAGTGCGGGCTGTGAACCAGGGGGTTGCCGGTTCGATTCCCAGTCGGGGCACATGCCTGGGTTGCGGGCCTGGTCCCCAGTGGGGGCCATGTCAGTCAGCCACACATTGATGTTTCTCTCTCTCTCTTTCTCCCTCCCTTTCCCTCTTTCTAAAAATAGTGAATAAAATCTTCAAAATAAAATAAAAAAAGGTACAAAGCTGCCATTTTCTGGAGCATTTTCTCGATCTGTTGAAGCTTGGCTTCCCGGCAGTTGTTGTCATTTTTACATTTGGACGTTTCTTACGTTGACAGTGTTGTGCCCACAGAGCCTGGACCTAACAGTGGACAAAAAGCAAGCACCCCACGAGTGGCCACCCCTCCTCCCCTGCCCTCTCCCTCTGTGCAGCAACACAGAAGCCTCCTACGTGTCGCTGCGCCAGATCCGTGCGGTTGCTAGACTGTCTCAGCCCAGGGGTGGCTGGACTCGGGGATTCTGTGCTCACAGGCGAAAAAGTTTTCCTGAAAATGGACATATATAAGAGTCTTAAGTATATGTGTAGATACATAATTTATTTTTATTTTTATCTATTGATTTTAGAGAGGAAGGGAGAGAGAGAACCACTGATGTGCTGTTCCACTTGCTGACGCATTCACTGGTTGGTTCTTGTATGTGCCCTGACTGGGGCTCAGACCCACAACCTTGGCGTATTGGGATGACGCTGTAACCAACTGAACTACCTGACCAGGCCTGCGATGCACAGTGTTTTGCTAGTGAGCAGGGGAATAAAAAAAATCCATTGGACATCTGTCCTAAGCTCCCCCACAAAATAAATTGTTCATGAAGGCTTCTATGCTTCCCCTGTAGCTGTGCGTGAGGAACCAGCGGTGTCTGGACGCTCCTGGATGCTAGGCAGCAGCTCACATGCCATTCACAGAGATAGGAGCGGCTTCATTTTTTTCTTTTTCTTTTATTTTTTTTAGAGAGGTAAAAGAGGGAGAAAGAGAGGGAGAGACACATCAATATGTGGTTGCCTCTCATGCACCCCCTAGTGGGGAGTCATGCCTGCAACCCAGGCATGTGCCCTTTGGTTCACAGGCCGGCACTCAATTCACTGGCCACAGCAACTGGGGCGAAGTGACTTCATTTTCTATACAGAGCTTAATTCACCTTGACCGTGAGCAATGCCTCCACTCACAAATATCCAGCCCAGCCCACCCCGAGGGAGACCCAGGACACACTCACCACAGGATTACGTGCATCTCCTTGCCATTAAACTGAGAAAGAAATCCGTTCTCAGGCTGAAGAGGAAGTTTGGCTGGTGCCTGAGTAACAGACTCCAGAGACGTGTGCTACTTGTCCTGCCTGCGGACAGCCTGCGCTGGGCCCTCCTGCCCCTGGCTCCTTCCCCTGGCCGCAGGAGGTCCCAGTGCAGTTCTTGTGCCCGTTGGAGACATTAAACTACAGCATCAGCCTGGCTGGTGAAATAGAGTTTATGTTTCATTGGTCTGTCCTTTGGGGGGGGAAAGCTTTAATGTTAATATTTTCTTTTATATGTGATGTAAGTGAAGTACTTGCCTGAAATGGAAACTTACTGTGTTTTTAACAATGTTAATGGAACAGTTTTCAATTATTTTTTATTTTTAAAAGGAAACCTTTATTTTAATTATAAGCTGTCTTTGATTCTTAAAGGTCATGGATTGGTGTAAGGCCGTTTATTTGCTTTCCATTTCAGTGCACTTTCTGCAAAAACACTATTGCCATTTTGACAGAAAGAAAAAGCTACATAGTTGCAGTGTTTGCCTCAACCAGCAATAAACACACCAGCACCATCACTCCAAAGCACCTCTCTGAGAGCATTTTAGTTGACGTGTGGGGAAATGAATAGGGCAGGGCATTAGAGCCTGAGGCATGCTGACTGGCTTACTGAGTGCTGGGTAAATTACCACTCAATGGCATGTGTTCTTGGGGAAGCAATTTCACAAAAGAAGAAACCTTTTCACTGACATTTGATATTTTCTTTCCAACAGGGACCAACACTTGTACAGCAGCGACCCGTTGTACGTTCCCGATGACAGTTTTTGTGACTGAGACACAGGTTATCCGGGAAACACTATGGTATGTTCTGTCCCCTGATCAGTAGTCTGGACGACTTTATTTTTTAAAAAAATACTTTATTTATTTATAGAGAGAGGGCAAGGGAGGGAGAGAAGCATCCATGTGTGGTTGCCTCTCATGCGCCCAGTCCTGGGGACCAGGACTGCAACCCAGGCGTATGTCCTGACTGGGAATCGAACCAGCCACCCTTTGCTTTGCAGTTGGGTGTTCAGTCTACTGAGCCACACCAGCCGGGGCTACATGACTTGATTAGTGGTGTAAAGAAAAGCATCCAGGGGTTTTTCCATGTGACCTAGAAACAGGCCTTTAAGTGTAAACTCCAGCAGTTCCCAGTGGGCACCCGAATTCTGCTGGTGCCTCAGGAAGCCCAAACTTGATTTTCCACCGTGGAGATTGAGATTTTGATGCATTTACTTCTCTTTCATTTTGAATAATTTAATATACAGTGTCCGACAGAAGTAAGGCCTGCTTGATTGTGTGTGGTTGGTAGGGTAATAATATGGGTATAGCAATTTTTAGTTTTAATTTGAACATTTCACCTAAAATGTCCTAGGGTGCCCTTGGGTGTGATATGACATGCTTATGATTTTGTAGTAGACAGGGACGTTATTTGTGCCAGACCCTGTGTATGTGACTAACTGGATCATACCATCCCTTTGCTAATGTCCAGGTTCAAAGCAAGGCTTCTCATGTGCTGCCTCCTGCTTGCAGTAGGCAGAGTGTCCCGATGGCAGTCAGCCTGGGCCCCAGCCCCGGGAACATCAGAGTGTGTTCCCACAAAAGGACAATGAGCAGTGAGACCCATAGAGCCGCCACTCAGATCTCCTGGGTCTGGTCCCCTCTGCCCAGAAGCATAATGTTGATATTCTTTTTCTTTTTTTTGTAAGATAATATTTTTAAAAGACTTTATTTATATCTTTGTAGAGAGAGAGGGAGAGAAACATCAATGTGTGGTTCCTCTCACGGACCCTCTGTTGGGGACCTGGCCCACAACCCAGGCACGTGCCCTGACTGGGAATCGAACCAATGACTGGTTTCCAGGCTGGCGCTCAGTCCACTGAGCCAGACCAGCCAGGGTTAATGTTGACATTCTGAAAACCAGGAAGGTCTGTTCGGACCACCTCCTGTGGGAGGAAATGCTTTGACAAGGCTGTTTGAACTTCACTCTGAGATGATACTGACATGTCTTGAGTGTTAAGGTAATCCCATGAAAAGAGTGATTTCTTCTGTTTTCTAGTTACCTGACCTCTCTGCTCCGCCCAAGTCTGAATCTTTTATTACAAATTCTTAATCATTACTGTAGCGAACATTCTTCTATACTTAAAATACACTTAAACTTCTTATTTCATTTCAGGTTACTCTCAGGAGCCAAAAAGCTCTTTATCTTTCAGCTGATAGATGGGAAGGTAACTGTGAGGAACGACATTACCGTCACCCATTTGACCCACATAAGTTAACTGTGTAAGTGTTAATTAAATAATGAGATTTGTGTAAACTGTGCGTATATAACTTTAGAATGTTTTTCAGTATTAAAACTACTAAATATATCTTAAGATCCAAAAGGCAAAATTAACTTGTGCAGCTTAAGAGTGCTTAGAGAATTCTTTAGTGTTGTTGTAATGTTACGTTTAGTTTTAATTTGTGTTTTCTCCTTTTTATTGGTCATTCTATATTGGGAAAGCTGTATGCTGTAAATGTTTTGCATATAGTGCATTTATCTGAAATGTATCTTTAAAAAGTGTAAACCTTGAAGAAAATACAAGGAAAAAATGAAGTTATTACAATCAAATTTAAAACAGCATAAACCTCAATTCCATATTCTGTAGATATTAATTTTCATGCTGCCTTTTGGATCTAAGCATACTGTTCCCAACAGTCACACAGGAGCTATTGTACAGCGAGGGGATATGCATTTGAAACTCACGGAGACTGGCTTGAAATAATCCTGTGTTTGGTTTCCATCCCGTGACCGGCGGCAGAGCTGTCTGCGGTCGGTGCTGGAGCAGATGGCGGCCTACGGGCAGGTGGTGTTCCGGCTCCAGGAGTTCATCGACGAGGTCATGGGCCACGGCCCTGAGAGCTTGCTGCCGGGGAACGGGAACGGCCACAAGAAGCTCACGGAGGCCCCCTTCCGAACCTACCAGGCGTTCATGTGGGACCTGTACAAATACTTCATCACTTTCAAAGAAGAACTTATAGAAATTGAGAAGTGTATCATCAATAACGGTATTGAAACGTTCTTCACTTTTACTTGTAAGACACACAACTCACACTCGGAATGCCATTGAAGTTATTCATTGATAGGAGGTTGGAAAATTACGTGGCAAAGAAGTAACTGTCATGAATATATTTATTTTTTAAATTTGTATTATTTTTTGTCATTACCCAAGGACATTTTCTAATTGCTTTAAAAGAGAGAGAAAGGTGTGGCAGATCCTGGCCGGCAGGACCTGTGTGTGTTGTGGCTGCTCGCAAACAAATACACAGGGACAACAGAAGTCCTGTGGAGAAAAAGGGACGGCATGGCCACTCTCTGAGAGAGAGGGCCAGAGGCCCCTGCCTGGACAGGCTTTTATTGTTTTTCTGGGTCCATGACATGGAGGGTAGTCCTCCTTTACTATGCACAGGTTCACTGCAGGGGCCTCCCATTACAGATAACAAAGGAAAGAATGCTGCTAATTACTGAAAAGAGAAGGATGTTGCAGATCAGGGGGAAAGTGGTTGAACTGGTCACACTGCATACTTGGGAGGTTTAGCTGAGATTTTAGGAAGTTGCAGTAAGCACTTGCTGCCTCAATTCAAGGTGAGGGAGTTTTAGCAAAAGCAAGTCTCATAGCAGTCTGGGTACAATGCAGGCCTGACTCCCCATGGGAAAACCTCTCCGTGGGCGTCGTCCTGCGTGCCACTCGCTCCCCAGTGGTTTTCCATGTGAGTCCTGAGCTACATTCCCACGCCACACAAAGGGATTCCCTACAAAAAGGGGGACAGAGAGAAAGAAGCATCAATTGGTTGCCTTCTGTATGTGCCTCTTCTGGGGACAGAACCTTGGTATGTGCCCTGACTGGGAATCAAACCTGCAACCTTTTGGTGCACAGTACAGTGCTGGAACAACCTCAGCCACACTGGCCAGGGCTAAAATTATTCTAAATGTGTATTTTAAGCCATACATGTCATTAAAAATCCAACAGTAGTGAAAGATGGTGAAAATTTTTCCACCACTGCAGGTGTGGCTCAGTTGGATAAGAGCCTTGTCCCATAGGCCGAAGGGTTGCAGGTTCAACTCCCAGTCAGGACACGCGCCCAGGTTCCGGTTCAGTCACATTTCAGTTCCAGTCAGGGCAGGTGCAGGAGGCAGCTCATTGATGTTTCTGTCTCACATTGATGTTTCTCTCTCTGTCTCCCTCCCTTCCTTTGCCTTTCTGTAAGATCAATAAGCATGCCCTCAGGTGAGGGAAAATTAAAGAAAACTTTTATTCTTCCTCCAGTTCTTCAGGCAAGAACTCAGTTCCTCTCCCTAGAGGGAACCAAGTCGTAGTCACTTGTGTACCCTCCTGGAAATAAAATTTTTTAAAGATTTTATTTATTTTTAGAGAAAGGGGAAGGGAGGGAGAGGAAAGAAATATCAATGTGTGTTTGCCTATAGTGCACCCCTTACTGGGGTTCTGTCATGTAACCCAAATTTGTGCCCTCACCGGGACTCGAACTGATGACCTTTTGATTTGCAGGCCGGTACTCAATCCACTGAGCCACACTAGCTGGGCCAGAAATAATTCAGACAATGCAGTGGGTGCATTTCTGTGTGTGCAGACCTGGAAGTCTACTCACTCCTCCCTTCAAATCCTATTTTCATTTAAATTTTAAGGATCATTACCTTATAAGTATATGAAGAGCCTCGTCATTCTTTTTCACAAACTCAGTGTCTTGCTGTATGGATGTGTCACAGACCCGTCCCCTTGTGGACACCCAGGTGCTTCTGAGCCTTTGCTGTTGCCATCAGCACCATAGTGGTAACCACTGCTGTGTCATTTGTTGTGCGCGGGCAGCGAGCTGGCTGTAGTGCAAGTTCTTCAGAGTGCCGCTGCCCTGGCTCCTGTGGCTCAGTGGACTGGGTGCCGGCCTGCAAACCAGAGGACATTGGTTCAATTTCCAGTCAGGGCACCTGGCTGGATTGCAGGCCAGGTCCCTAGTAGGGGGTGCATGAGAGGCAACCACACACTGATGTTTCTCCTTCTCCCTTCCCTTCTCTCCAAACATAAATAAATTAAATCTTTCATTAACAAACGGCGTAGAAGTGTTGGGCAGAGGCGATCGCGGGCAATTTGCCACATTCAACAGGAACCCCTGAGCGCCTTGCCGCCCTTGCAGGCAGCACCTGACCGAACCCTGTGGTCCTCACCCATGGGACGGACATGAAGCGGTGGCCCAGGGCCGGTGTTTTCCCCTTCACTTTGGTCACAGCTCAAAGCAGTGCTCAGTCCCCTGTGTCCATCACGGGACTTCCCTGACCCCCCCCGGGGTGACCCCACATGTCACTACAGTCTGTCATCAACACCAGGGACCTGCCCCGGCACAACACACTGGGGAGCCCGCAGACCCTCCTCGGGTGTCACCCCTCTGCGGGTGCTCGCTTTTCTTCGGGGAGTGGGGAGTAAGATGTGTGTGTCGTGCTGTGACGTGCGGTCCCGTGTGTGCTGATTCCCGCAGCCCCCTCCACACTCAGGAGTCAGAGCCGGCTCTTGCCGCCCCCTTGTAGCCAGTCCCTCCACCCTCCCCCCCCGAAACAGCAGCCCCACTGTATTCTGGGATTTATTTCTTTTGTCTAGTAGTTTTAATTTGCGTTCTTTGGTTACAAGTGAGGTCGACTGTCTTTCTGTCTAAGAATCACTGGTATTTCCTTCCCTGTCAGTTCCTTTATAGGTTGTTTTTCTGGGAGTTCGTTTGTTTCCCCCTGAGAAAGGACTTTCTTTAGGGACGTGAATCTGGGAGACAGGAGAGGAAAATGCAGCCCCCTCCCGTCGGCTCTGCCTTCCCTCGTGGGTGAGCATTTCTGGGGTATCTGACTTCACGGTTTTCCTGGCTAACAAGTGTGACCCTTGACCCTCACAGACACCACAGTAACTCTTGCCATCGTGGTGGACAAGCTGTCGCCCCGCCTGGGGCAGCTGAAGGTTCTGCACAGAATCTTTAGCACCGGGATAGCCGAGGTCCCGCCGGACACGCGGAACGTCGTTCGGGCGTCTCCCCTGCTTAACACCCTGTACAAGGCCATCCTGGAGTATGACAACGTGGGGGAGGCCTCTGAGCAAATGGTACGTGGCCCCTCGTCTGGTCTCAAGCGTGTGGTTCCCTCCTGTGCTGGCAGAACAGTGGGCTGCCGCTGTTGCAGCTCCTTCTAGAAACAGTGCTTCAGTCTCGGCGTGTCTGACACTTGTGCAGGGTTTTGAAATTAGCTTCTAAGTTTGTTTGGGGTTTTTTTCCAGATTTTATTTATTTTTAGAGAGAGGGGAAGGGAGGGAGAAAGAGTGAGAGAAACATCAAAGTGTGGCTCAGCCTCTCAAGTGCCCCCTGCTGGGGACCTGGCCCACAGCCCAGACATGTGCCCTGACTGGGCATTGAACCAGCCACTCTTCAGTTCACAGGCCAGCACTCAGCCCACTGAGCCATACCAGCCAGGGCTCTTCTAAGTTACAATTGCTAGGATGAGCAGAAGGATGCGATGCAGCGAGGACAGAACGTGACAGCAGGATGTGAAAAGTTCCCAGCTGTCTTCCAAAGCGAGGTGCAATAACCCTTTCTGAAATAGAACTGCAAGTCTATGATGGGAAGTCTCAAGAGTGGTCAGTCACAGAAAGAAAAAATAGGACCAGGTTTACTAGGGGCTGAGAGGAGGGGAGGTACGTTACGGGGACAGAGTTGCAGGGACTTTTTTATTTTTAAGATTTTATTGCTTTATTTTTTTTAGAGAGGGGGAGGGAGGAAGAGAGGGAGAGAAACATCAATGTGTGGTCGCCTCTCGCACACCCCTTACTGGGGACCTGGCCCGCAACCCAGGCATGTGCCCTGACTGGGAATCGAACCGGCAACCCTTTGGTTCACAAGCCAGTGCTCAATCCACTGAGCCACGCCAGCCAGGGGAAGAGTTGCGGTTTTAAGCATGAGAATGTTCTAGGGATCTATTCTCACAACAGTGTGAATATACTTAGCTTGACTGAACTGTACACTTAAAAACGATGGAGACCATATTTATGTTATGTCCTTTTTTATTACAATTTAATAACACAGTGCTCACTAGAGACTAGAATCGAGAAAGCTGCAGGTTTGTCTGGGCATGTGTTTTGGGTGTGTTTCCCTGTTGGTTGGCGCACTATTTTCTCACTGCTGTGGTCCTGCGGCTCCGCATACAGTAGGTCCGTTTCTTCCAGCTGTGTAGTGTTTTCCTGCTGGGCGGGCAGTAGAATGAAACCATGTCCTCATTGCTTCTGGACACCTCGCTCACTGCTCCACTCAGGCAGGAAAACCGTGTCGCTGTCGTCCCTGGGTAACCACCCCTCACGGGCGTCCGAGTGTGGGCTACAGACCTGTGCTCATCTTGTGAGTGGGTGAGTTCTTCACAAGGGTCTTACAACATGTGGTTTGGGTTTTTAATTTCCTACTTTATTTCAGACAGCAGAAACCTGGTCACTGTCCAGAAGGAGTCTCAGCAGCGTGTCGGCCTCGTCTCTCGCCGAGACGAGGACGCCCTGAGAGCGGCCTGTGCGCGTGTCCCCGCAGGTGTCCCTGCTCTTCTCCCTCTGGGTGGAGACCGTGTGGCCCTACCTGCAGATCGTGGACGAGTGGATCGCGCACGGCCACCTGGGCGACTGCGCACGGGAGTTCATCATCCAGAGGTGACCGCGGCCACACGAGGCTCAGGGCACGTGGGGCGGTTTCGCTGGGTTCAGGCACCACCAAGGGAGAGCAGTTGGGCCGAGAGAGCTCTGTGGTCACCACAGGGCACGTCGGGGCGCGGCCCCCAGACACCTTTCTCCTGCCCTTGTGTCAGTTCACTGCTCAGTCCCGCAGACTGCCTCTCTGGGTGGCGGTGTGTCGATGTCGGGCTGGCCTAGCGACACGCACAGCGCTCCCTGTGAAGCAGGCGCGGGCCCCCAACCACCCACTCCCAGTCATTCCAGCGGAAAGCATCAGTTAGATAAAAGTATGAAAACATTTCTGAAGAGGCCTTGAATACATTTATTTCTCCAAATTAGCTGCTCTAGATTTTTTTTTCTTTTTAATCCTCACGTGAGGATATATGCATTGATTTTAGAGAGCAGAAGCGGGGGTCGGGGGGACACACACGCGCGCACACATCGATGTGAGAAAGAAACATCGATTGGCTGTGCACCCCGACCAGGACCGAACCTGCAAACCAGGCCTATGCCCCGACCAGGAATCGAACCCTGGACCTTCTGGTGGGTGGGATGACATTCCAACTACTGACCCACAGGAGCCAGCATGCTACTTTTTTTTTTTAACACTTAAGTTAATTGATTTTTCTGAATACAATCACAGAATCTGCGTCTCAATGCCTTGTGAAGTTGGGTGCTCTGTGTGGGTGTGTGGTTTTATTGACAGCTGTTCATTTCCCTCGACAGGAAGGGCATGTTGATGCCCCCGAGCTCTGGAAAGGTGGCCCTGTTTTTGGGGCTCAGATATAAGAGGAGCCTTTCCCCCAGTCCAGCTTTTGTCTCTCATTCTGTCCTGTTTCATCTCTCTCACTATTCTTAGATAGTGGGGAGTATCTATCATTTTGTTACTCAAAGCAATTCTGTTAAGGATCTACTTGGACCCTGGCTGGGGTGGCTCAGTGGATTGAGCGCTGGCCTGCGAACCAAAGGGTTGCCAGTTCTATTCCCAGTCAGGGCACAGGCCTGGGTTGCAGGCCAGGTTTCCAGTAGGGGGTGCTCAAGAGACAATCACACATTGATGTTTCTCTCTCTTTTTCCCTCCCTTCCCCTCTCTCTAAAAAAAAATAAATAAAATCATTAAAAAATAATCTTATGTGGAGAGGGATAGGTGTAGAAGTCTGGAGATTACTCTCATGGGAGATGAACAAATTAATCATATTTTGCTTAATTCCAATGCAGACAACTTTCTACTTAGTTAGATTTTTGTCTCAGTCATCAGAGTATTTATCCATGTTTTCATGTTAAACTGAGGCCTGATAAACTCTCCCATTTTGCACAGACATTGCTTCATTTCAGCAACAACTGACGTTACTGTGTCTGGGAATGTCTGTAACACACAGGGCTGAGCTAGAACACACATGCTGTTCTTTTGGAAGAAGGATGAACATCGAACATTCTTTTGAATCTCTACAGAAACAAAAATGTTCCGGTCAATCACAGAGACTTCTGGTACGCAACCTACACGCTCTACAGTGTGTCGGAAAAGACAGAGAACGAAGAGAAGATGAGCGACAACGCCAGCGCGAGCTCCGGCAGCGAGCAGGGCCCCTCCAGCCGCCAGCCCACCATGGTGTCCTTCCTCAGGCCCGTGCTGAAGCACATCATCATGGCCGGCAAGTCCATGCAGCTGCTGAAGCACCTGCAGGCCGGGGACGGCACCACGGGCCAGGCCACGGCCAGAGGTGGGCCCTTCCCACACGCCTCTCGCGGCAGGGGCTGCTCTGCTGCTGTCTCTGCTCTTGTCATCCGAGACACGGAATGATTCTGTAGTTTTCTGTTTGTTTTGTTGTTTATAATTTTTAGAGAGAGGGGAAGGGAGGGAGAAACATCAATTGGTTGGTTGCCACTCGTATGTACCCCAAACAGGGACAGAACCCACAACCCAGGCTTGTGCCCTGACTGGGGATTGAACCTGGGACTGTGGGCTTGCAAGACCTCAACAAAACCTTCTAGTTACACGGAAATTAGCACCATGATCAAGGGAGTAGATCATGCTGCTTCTAATAGGAAAAAGGTTGTCCTCATTGGAAATGTCTAGCACTTGCTCTGGCCAGTGTGGCTCAGTGGAGTGAATGCTGGAGTGCTAAGCAAAAGCTTGTTGGTTCGATTCCCTGTCAGGGCACATGCCTGGTTGTGGGCCAGGTCCCCAGTTGGGGGTGTGCTAGAGGCAAATAATTGATGTTTCTCTCCCTATCTTTCTCTCTCCCTTCTCTCTAAAAATAAATATATTTCTTTATATTTCTTTAAAAGACAGAAAGAAATTTATAGCACTGTATTTGAAAGACAGTGATAAGAAGTTCCACATGTATTTTCCTTACTCTTGATTCCTGAGGACTGGTCTTTTTTTTTTTTTTTTTTTTTTTTTTTGACTCAGAGGGAAGGAGAAAGAGGAAAAAATCTATGTGTGGTTGCCTCCCACATGCCCCATCTTAGGGACCTGGCCCACAGCCCAGGCATGTGCTGTGCCCTGACTGTGAATCAAACCGCTTACCCTGGATTCACAGGCCCATGCTCGATCCACTGAGCTACACCAGCCAGGGCAGGACTGCTCCTTTAAAAATAATTCCCTAGCATATCTTGCAGCATGTCGCTCTTGAAGACCATGAACCCTGGCAGATAGGAATTCATTGGTGAGCAATTCTGACTGGACCATAGATTTCAATAAAATTTTGATGTTATTTCTAGTAATTTTATCAATTGACTAAAACAATTTGAGAGGTGTAAATGAAACCCATGGTTGTTTTGTTTGTAAATCAGCTTAGTGTTACATCAGTTATTTTGTATCTTGTCCAATAATATTTTCAGTTGGCCCGCGGTTCTTGCTCAGTTGGTTACAGCATCATCCAGATATGCCAGTTATGGGTTTGATCCCTGGTCAGGGAACGTATAAGAATCAACCAATGAAGGTATAGAGAAGTGGAACAACAAATTCATGGCCCAGCCCACCCCTTTCTCTTTCCCTTCCACCTCTCTAAAGTCAATAAATACAAATTTTAAAACATAAGAATAATATTTTTACTTTGGATATTTCCCTTTTGATGGAATAATAAAATGTAATGAGGTTTCCAGGCCCAATCCTCGGAGTCTGATAAAATTCTGAAGTGCTGTACATGGTAACTTAACTTTCAAGTGCCCTGTTTAGGGTACTCCCTTGTTCAGAATAAACTTAGCTTATACTTTCTTCTTTAACCCTGAACTTCTCAGCTGTCCAACAGGATGTAAAAATGGGTAGTGGCACTGTATTACAAAAGTAACGATATGGGAATAGACTCTCATAGTATTTCCAGAGAGAAAATACCAGGCAACATTTGGATTAAAGCACATGATATATCTGAATGATACTTAATGTTAAGTAACCTGACACATCTTTACATTTCACACCCAGAAAGAAAAAGCCTGTATTAACTCTTTCTGGGGCCCACAGCAGGCTCTTGAGGCTCCCGGAGGCGACCTCCCACATATACCACCCTGAACCCACCCTGCACCTCCTGTAATCTCCGAAGCAGGGTCCGGCCTGGTTAGTGCGTGGATGGGAGACCGCCTGGGAACGCCAGGTGCTGTAGGCTTTTCCCGATTTGGCCTTTCCCCAGGCTCGCCTTTGTCCGCTCAGGGGCACTGTCTGGGGCCTGTGGTGGCCTAGAGCTGACTGCCCCCATCTACCTCCGCTGGGGTGCTGCCATCAGGGTGTGCTTGTCCCGCCGAATCCTTCCGTCCCACTGGGGTCGGATGTGGCAGGGTGGGGCGGTAGAAGCACAGGGTAGGGGGCGGTTGTGGCACAGATCATGCCCAGAAGGCGGACCCGGCTCTGGGCAATTCCCTGCCACTGGCCTCAGGGACAGAGACCGCGCCTTCACTTAGGGTCTCGGCGCCGATGCACAGGGAAGGTTCTCCGACTCCCCAGCCCTCCTGTCCACAGCCCACAGGCGCTGGACAGAGTACCCCCAAGGTACGCTTTACACAGCTTACACAGCCCAGGCTGCCAGAGGCTGGCTCAGTGCCCAGGGACCTGCGGGTGCATGGGCGTGCCCCTGATCCCGCCTCCCGGGTCGCTCCCTGGGCGAACGGCACCGCACCCCTCGGGCTAACCTGGGACGGTCCCTGTCCCTCACACCAGGTTCTCACGTCTCGCCTCTGCGACGATAAGGGGGCACGCGCGGGCCACCTTGGAGGTTGGTGGGCAGCACGACTCAGAGAGGGGAGCTGTCAAGGGGAGCGAGGGCCCCGGGGCCCCACACAGGCTCTTGGAGCTCCTGGAGCCCGCCTCCCGAGTCTAAGGTCAGACCGCCCTGAGCCCACCCGGTCTCCTCTGATCTCTAGAGCTAAGCAGGGTCGGGCCTGGTTAGTATGTAGACGGGAGACCGCCTGGGAGTACCGGGTGCTGTAGGCTTTTCCCGATTTTGATTTTGTCTTTCCCCAGGCTGTCCTTTTGGCCGCCCCCGGACTGGGGCCTAAGGCATCTGGGGGCAGAGGTTGACTGCCTTCCCTCTACCAAGTCTGGGGCGATGCCATCACCTCCAGGGTGCCAGGACCATTCCATGGCACACCCTCCCTTCTGAGTCAGGGGCCCGGCAGGGGGTGGTTAGGGCCCAGGTCACGCCCAGAAAGCCTACCCCCGTGGGCAGGATTCCCTCCCACGGACCTCAGGGCCAGAGCCCGCTCCTTCACTTAGGGTTCCTAGGTTCCCAGGCCGGATACACGGGGTAGGTTCTCCCACTCACCACCCCTCGTGTCCCTAGCCCACAGGGGCTGAACAGAGTTCCCCAAGGAAGGCTTTGTGTCGCCGGCACTGCCCCGAAGCCCTGGCTCAGCGGACACAGAGCTACATGGTGCCCAGGGCCGCCCCTGGTCCCTCCTCCGGGGACCTACTTGGGTGCGCAGCACCCCTCCCCTTTAGGCTACCCGGGGAGGGTCCCCGACCCCGGCCACACGTTCTCACATCATGCCCATGTGTTGATAAGGGGGCGCCCACGGGACACCTACCACGCTGGTAGAGTTGCAGGCCAGGGAGAGGGGCCCAGTCCAGGAGAGCCAGGGGAGCCAGGGACCCCAGGACCCGCTCGGGCTCACGGTCTCCCAGAGGCCATCTGCCGGGTGGAAGGCCAAGCAATCCTGAACCCGCCGGGTCTCGTCTGATCTCAGAAGCCATGCAGGGTCCTAGCTGGTTAGCACTTGGTTGGGAGACTGCCTGGGAGTACCGGATGCTGTAGGCTTTTCCCAATTTGGTCTCCCCGCTCACCTCCTGCCCCGCCCCACCCTGCTGGACTCGTCTTTGGCCCGCGCCCGGCCCGGCCTACGGCCGGCCTAGGGCCTGTGGTGGCCGAGCGTTGGCCGCCTCCATCTACCTGCGCCGGGGCGATGCCATCAGGTTGTGGGTGTGCCCCAGCATCCCTCCGCCGCGCTCGGGGAGGAAGTGGCCCGCTGGGGCGGGCGCGGCCCGGGGTAGGGGGACGTCCTGGCACAGGTCCAGACTGGAAGGCGGGTTGGTCCTGACGACTCTCCGCCACTGGCCTCAGGGACAAAGAACGAGCCTTCGCTGTGGGTTCCCGCTCCCTGACCCCCAAGGAACGCCCCTCCTTTCTCCCATCCCCCTGGACCCCAGACCCCCCAGCGCGGTTGTCCAGCCTTCGCCCGGGTGTGCTCGGCCCCGCCAAGGCCGCCCCGAAGCCGTTCCCACGGCCCAGGGAATCCGGCGTCCTCAGTGCGGCCCCTGGATCCACGCCCGGCGGTCCTTGCGTGTCCCGGGCGCGCCCGCGGCATCGCCCGGCAACCCTTCAGGCTTGCCGGGGCGGGAAGCCGGCCTTGGCAACAGGGCCTCTCCGCCGGCCTTTGCCGGATCAAGGAGTGGCCGGGCGGGCTCCTCCCGGGGCCCCTAGGAGGCTGGCAGGCAGCCCTACAGAGAGACGGGCGCGGCCGCAGAGGGAGAGCGGCCCGGCCGGCCGCGGTGCTCCGGCCCTTGAGGCTCCCGGACGGACGCGGCCTCCCTCATCTACGGCCATACCACCCTGAACGCGCCCGATCTCGTCTGATCTCGGGAGCTAAGCAGGGTCGGGCCTGGTTAGTACTTGGATGGGAGCCCGCCTGGGAGTACCGGGTGCTGTGGGCTTTTCCTGATTTTGATTTTGTCTTTCCCCAGGCTGTCCTTTTGGCCGCCCCCGGACTAGGGCCTAAGGCATCTGGGGCCAGAGGGGTGGCTGCCTCCCGTCTACCTGCTGTGGGCGTTGCCTTCACCGTGGGGGGGTGTGGCCCAATCCCTTTACCGTCCTTCTCTCCTAGGCTGCAGGAGCTGGGGTGTCAGGGATTAGATCTGGATCAGGCCACGCCCAGAAGGCGGGCCTTTGTGATGGCCCACCTCTCACACTTTTCCCCGGGCCCGACCCCACCCCTTCGTTAGGGTTCGCGGGCTCGACGCCCAGCAAAGTTTCTCTGGCTCCCCAGCCTTCCCATCTCTAGCCGACTGGCGCTGGACAGAGTTCCTCAAGGTACGGTTTGTGATCCCGGGAGCGCCCCAAGCACCTGCTCAGCGGGCAGAGAGCTCCAGGTGCACATCGTCACCCCTTGTCTGCCCTACCTGGGTCGCTCCTTGGGCGGGCGGCACGGCACCCCTTTGGGCTATCCTGGGAGTGTCCAGGGATCTAGCCACAGGTACCCCTGCTCTAACTGTGCTTCAGGAATGGGGCGTCCTCGGGGCAACTGGGAGGCTTGTGGACATCACGAAGGAGAGAGGGGGGCAGCCAAGGGGAGTGCGGGCCCCAAATCCCGACGCGGGCTGTTGGGGTTACCAGAGACCGCCTCCCCGCTCTAAGGCCAAACCACCCTGAACGCCCTGATGTCGTCTGATGTCAGAAGCTAAGCAGGGTCGGGCCTGGTTAGTGCGCGGATGGGAGACCGCCTGGGAAGGCCGGGTGCTGTAGGCTTTTCCCGATTTGGCCTTTCCCCACGCTCGCCTTTGCCCGCGCAGGGGCGCTGTCTGGGGCCTGTGGTTGCCGAGAGCTGGCTGCCCCCATCTACCTGCGCTGGGGTGCTGCCATCAGGGTGTGCTTGTCCCGCCGAATCCTTCCGTCCCACTGGGGTCGGATGTGGCAGGGTGGGGCGGTAGAAGCACAGGGTAGGGGGCGGTTGTGGCACAGATCATGCCCAGAAGGCGGACCCGGCTCTGGGCAATTCCCTGCCACTGGCCTCAGGGACAGAGACCGCGCCTTCACTTAGGGTCTTGGCGCCGATGCACAGGGAAGGTTCTCCGACTCCCCAGCCCTCCTGTCCACAGCCCACAGGCGCTGGACAGAGTACCCCCAAGGTACGCTTTACACAGCTTACACAGCCCGGGCTGCCCGA